TCATGTTATATATATACATGTATTCAAAATGGCTGATTCTGAATGCTGTTCCAAAGCAATATCTCTCAATATGGTAAAGTACTTTTTTGACGATCAGATACAAATGTCAATCATTTTAATGTTAAAAAATCATATTCCTGACATGGTTATATTTCAGCTATATTACTATAAACAAAACTATATATCTTAAATTTGATAACTAACAGGGACTGTGCTATGCATGGCTTCTTTATTTCTGAATTTTTATTTGATTATCACTCGTGTAGGGGCTAAGCCAAGGGTTTTGTCAGGGTTGTATAATTGCCATTCAACTACCAATTCTTGTGAATGAAAGATTGTGTACCTGCTTGTGTCAGTTCATTCGTTGAAAAGGAATACACATAAATATACTGTATAATACTTTATTTTCGCTTGAAATTTATTTTCGCTGAAGGGATGATTACGTGAAAAAAAATCCAGCGAATATACTTTTTCCTATATTTCTCATTCAACTCATCAAAAATCAGTGAAAATAAATTCCATAAAGAACGCCCAAAAAGCCTTTTCAGCGAAAAAGTATTCCACAGTATTACTATAACAACAATGCAAAACATGTGTTGTATAATATTCAACTATCGTTTAAATTGTACCTTACTTTTTTTGGAACAATGGTGTAGGATAAAATTAATTTCTTTGAAAATGAAGTTCATTTAAGAAAATTAAAAACATTGCACTAAATCGTTCAAAAATCTTGAAAGTTCGCGGAGCTGTTTCGAATGGTTGCCATTGTAATATATTTGTGTCGAACAGACAGATGCAATTTCTTGCCAATAAGGCCGATGGAGAAGTTTATTATTGATTTTATAAAGAGCAAATACTAAGAAAAACATTTTAATTTACCATTCTCCCACTTTGTGGTATGTTACAATGAATGGAATTACTATTGCGATTAGTGCCAGCTTGGGTATTAAGTCACTAAATTAGCTAGATTAATTGTAGATAAGGCTACAATTGTCGTCTGTAACAATGTTCTGATGTTTTCTGTGTATGCATTTGTATTTAACATTACAATATACAAGATGTAGGAAATACTTGTAACTTATTTTTAATAGATTAATAAATGACTTTACATAAGTTCTCTTGGAGATGAGTGATACAATGTGTGTGCTATGATTGAATTATGTGTACTTGTGCATGTATATTATAATAAATTTATATTTGTGTCCCACAAAACTGAATACAGTCCTGTCAGGTTTCTAACGTCTACAAAATAACTTATAGGCATATAAAAGATGCGAAGTCCATCTTGTTTACTGTTCCATGCATTGTTTTGAGTACCAGACACTGCATGGTGTCCTTGAATGTAGATGTATATTGAAATCTGTTTATTTATCATCTTCACAAAATCTGCCAGTATAACGCCTCTGACATTTACATATCCAGTATTCTGCAACTTCACTGTCTTCGTTACGACTACACTCGCCATGACCAGAACATTGACCAGGTTGATGCACCTCCCAAAACTCTTTGTTGAGTCCATTAGGAAGAAACGGTTTAACTATGAAATAAGCGATGAGAAAAAAAAGTCAGCCCTATTTTTCAGTTCATTTTAAATTTTTTTAATACAAGTTGACATCTGATTTAAGGAGAGAGCTACATTACTGAGTGTACGAGTATATCGCGGAACAAAATGGCGGCCGTATTGTCATATGTATATAGTGACCGTTGCTATGCAATTAACTGTTCAAAATGGCGTCTGTCGAAGAATTTCTGCTGGATGTTAATATGAATATTCCTGACTGAACGTGGAAGGTTTATGCTCGCATGCAAGACTAAATGTGAGTTGTGAAACGTGCTGGGTAGTAATATGTCATCAAATTTGCGCGAATAGCATGTCCTGGTGGTTATTTGGTGTATAGTATACTCACAATCTCCTGTCCAATGCAATATTCCGCCGTTTCCTAGACGCCTTCGTCTTCCCTCTGTCATCAATACTCCTGGTGCGCCCAGGTATTCGATGTTCCATTTCCGGTCTATTGGTTGCCAGTTCTTATGAAAAAGTAGTTGAATTATTGCTTGGGCATCCCACATCCACAGCTTGCCATTCTCTGGAAATCTTGCATTCTGAAATAATCATTCTTATTGGTTCATTTTCAGTTCGTAGAGTAAATACAGAGAAATACACTTTAAGATTTCAATGAAACACAAACTCGAGCACATGTCATGCTTCTGCTGAGTCAGATCATCGATGTTTAATCGGCATTCGAAATGTCGGCTTCTTACCATTTTTAACCAGAATTCCACTTCAGAGACAATTCTATGACTTCGATAATAGTCCAAATCAATAACAAACACCCCGCAATTAAAAATCGTCGCAGTTTTATTGAATGTTCTGTGGTATCTAAATTGAATGTATATAATACAAATTATTCATACGTTTTTTTTTTTGTTTTTTTTTTTTTGCAATGACGTCGTGTAAAATCAGCTTAGGCTGCTAATGTCATGGACATATGTCTGCAGTGACAAGGAACAATAGTTGTAAGTACTGCACCGGAAAAAATATTCTCCTTCAATAGCACACAACACTGAAAGGAGATCGGCAAACAACTCACGTTCGATAATCCACAAGGAAGTGACATAAGTTAATGACACTCAACCCATCAAACTAAGCACATTCCCACTCATCTGTATGTATCAGCTTGGCTTAGTAAACATATTTTGCATGGAGCTCGTTGGGAGAATTCGGTCATGCGATTTGGAATTAATATATTAATTAATGTCATAATGAGTTAGAAAATAAATATGTGATAAACTATGCAGTTTTCAGTTGTTACTGGTATCTCTGTATGCATGATTCAAAATAGTATTTTTTTCTTTGCAACAAAATACGAATCTAATTCAAACGAATCAAATTCAGAGAATCAAGAACAGATAAAATATGTTTAACTCTGGGATCATTCTTACGGTTTTTATCGGGGTCTTTGGACAATCTATGAAAAAAAAACATGAGGATAATTGTTTGAATTCGTTGGAATTGTGTACAAAATATCAAATTCCAAGATGTCCGAATATTGGTGATCGTTTCGAAATTTTTGGAATAGTGTTTGAACGCGTGTAGATTCACAGACACTCTGAAATGGGAGAATCCTCAATTTACACACCGATATTCATAACATCAAATATGTCACATAATCCCTGGGCATAAATAAAGCTTTATAAATTGTCTCAGAGTGCACTTTAATAGAATTTGAATAACCGGTGTATCACCGTGTAATGACAGTAATTCCGAGTTCTTGCAAAATATCTATAAAAATGCCAAAAAAGTTTAGACCTATACACTAAGACCGGTCAGTAGTTGGTAAGTATGATTACGCCTAGTTATATCCGAGATCATTGGTAGTTTCAAGTAGCCATTGCTGAGTGCAATAATTTTAAAATTGAAAATTTAATTTTTTTTACATAATTATGTTAAATCGGTTATGTGAAGTTATTTTTATGTTTTCTCAAGAAAAGTGGTTTGCTATACGATTTTATGGTTATTGACTTCATTCCTTCTTTGTTTGCTTGTCTCTTGAAAAAGTTACTGCTACGTCATCTTACCCATTTACCTTTTTTGGTATAGCTTTGAAACTACATCGACCCTGAACCCTTCTTGTTCAAATCCATGATTGTTTTTCACTGCAAGAAATGGCGCTGTCAGACTACTTGCCTCTGACCACAAATCTTCTATTGGTGCATCCACTACCAAGTCCATGTCTAAATATATTGCTTTCGATACTTCTGGGAATAACCTAAATTTGATACAACTCAAAAATGTAATCAAAATATAACAAATTCAAAAATGGGACCCGTTTCATCGGCACGTGGTAAGATTTAATTTATACGGAAAGGGGCACATGGGATATGTACAAACCGACATAAACGGTAAACTATCATACAATCGTAGTACTTCGTGATTGGAATGTCAAGATGATATGCGACATGTCCTGTTACGACTAAATAGTAGGAACCATAAATCTAATTAATATATAAACAAACTTCACCTGTAAAAGTACGCCCTTGCATAATTACACGAACTTTTCAACCTTGGAATATAGTATGAATGCTCCCATAATTTTACAATATCCGGATCTAAGATTGAACTATCGAAGGTAACCATCTCTATCTGTGTGTGAAACAGGTGCATAACATACAATTGGGAAACATGGAAATCAACTTGGATAAACACGCACCAATCCTGGTATGCAATAGCTTCATGACTAGCCCGAAATAATAAGCTGGTTACGAGACTGGGTATACAAAGCAAATTGTCGCATATTTTGATGTTTTGGGCATATTCACTGTGTTTTATTTTCACGAATTTGTCATAGAAACAATGGGTTTTATTTTCACCTAGATTTAATTTAGCGGATTTTACTTATAAGCGAAAATAGCAAAATTAAAACCCTGTATTCTATAGTACACAATTCATCAATCTCTCGTTCATAGGCGTGTTATTCTAATCATCAGAATACATTGCCTCCAGCGACTCACAACACAATAATCACGTGACATTGCGGGAAAGCTTACAGCTTTGTTCATACATCTCGTGCAGCACCGTCACATCACCTTGCGTTACTTACAGTGGAATTTGCATCGATTGAGTATAAATAAGTATAACATTTTGAAGCCGATAATTAAATAAAAAAAAAACAAGTGTCTAATCAACCAGTTGTCATTCATATACTTTCTCCCGGAAGATGTTCTCGTGGAAGCCGAGGGG